CTGGGTTCTACCCCAGTACCTGAAAAGAAAAAATAAAGAACACCTCCACCTCTCCTTTTTAGGAAAGAAAGGCTTTCAGTCCTTGACAGCACTTGAAAGTAAGGTTGTGTTGTGATAAATAGAATCAGTTCACCGCAAATGGTAGGTTTTTACAATGGCTAGTATGATGTAGTTTGGTGTATAACTGGGCAGCTGATCTTAAATTTTACTTGTGCTCAGTTGGGAAAACTCAGGGGAGTTGACACTATTGGCCCTCCTTCTAAAAGTGAAATGATAATGTAACAGGGGTTCACTTGATGTTTTGACCCTTGTGGGTTTGAAAATTGCATTTTTCCCCCCAATCTTCTTTTCCCTAAACTACCCCTCCCTGATCTTCATTTCCCTAATCTCATTTTCTCTGAAACACCTCTATAAAAAACGTTTGTGTTCCTGCTGATGGGCAGTATCACAGCCTTTGGGACAGGAGTCACCACCTGTGTTTCTCCTTTGCTAGCAAAGCAATAAACATTCTTTTTCCTTTTTCTCAAAACCACGTCCTCAATGGATAGGATCACGAACAAGGATCAAGCTTTCGGCAACAATAAGATTTTGGTTTATGATGATTGTTAACGACAGAGAAAATATAACTAAAACTGAAATTTCATATTTTGTTCCCTAGATTTCACCTGAAACGGAATACCTATGACTCATGGAAGAGGCTAGAGTCTACAGAATATTCTAGGCTGGTTGTTCTTAAGAGACCAAGATTAAGGATTGTGTGCCTGGACTAGCCATGCAAGCTACTTTGGGATCACTTTAAACTGAAATCTCAACCTCTTTAAATATAGATTTCTTAACTTGTGAAATGGAAATAAGACTTATCTCTTGAAGTTGTTGAAGTTTAAATTAGATAATGTATAATTAGTCCTACTTTCTTTTTTAAAGTGCTTTACAAATTATAAAATGAGGAGTTGGAAAGTAATTGGCCTTGTGGGAGCTGAAGTCAGATTTTTGGTGAACTTAATGTGGACTTCGGTGAGCTTGTGTAGTTCTGCTTTATATTCATAAAGATAGGATTTTGTTTTAACTTCCAAAAAAAAGCTATTCTCTAATCGAAAAACTCATCTTTGGGGTAAAGAGTTAAGTGTCCAAAGGTTTTAACTGTTCATGAAGTCAGAGAGAGTTAGCCTGGCACCTGAACTCTGCCCTTCCACAGCTTACAAGATTCCTACAGAAGTGTATTTAAATTCTCTAGTACTAGACAATGTTGGGCAGGGTGAGTGAGGGGATAGGGCTGGGTATTTTAACAGATGATTGCCGAGGAGTGGTATCTGGACAAAACAAAGTCACTTCCCATTTTTTTGAAACAAAATAAACTTGAAAAAATAATTTTTGTTTGGTAAAAATGGGAGAATTCCCACCAATGTTCCTAGCCACAAGGGACCAGTTCCTCTGAGAAATGAATAGTAGAAACTCAAATTTGAAAACATTTGGGGAAAAGGAAAATTGGCTTTCTGTTAATTGGCAAGTGTTCCAGTAGGACTCTATTTTTTATGGGATGTTTATGTTGTATGTACCTGTATATAGACCAGAGTCTCAACTGAGTTTATAAGGTTCAGAAAAGATGATTGGTAAAATTTTGATTTTTGTTAATTTATCTCAATAAAAGCCCACTGGAATGCCAAAAAAAAAAAAAAAAAAAGGGACTTGGGATCATTCTGTCTTCAGTGCTTGTGAATCTAGTTGAATGTGAGCATCAACTGTTAAAACTGCCCTCAAGTAATCATTTTTTACACCTTACCCAATCCAGACAATCAGTAAAATGCACCTCTTCACAAATGCTTGACTCAAGCCAAACGGAGTTATTTCCTGCTCTTTTTTTTTTACAGCCCAGAAATTTTGCCTTACAGTTCTCTTTGGGGGAAAAGTAGCTATATGGCCAGTTTTGTAAGAACCTTGCTTAGCATCCGGACAGCCACAATTTTAAGAAAAATTTCCCTCTCCCACCCAAGGGCATTTCTTCCAAAGATTCACCACTCCCTCATACCAACCCCACCCTTAACCACCCACATTTGGACCCACCTGTTTCTAATCTCAGCCTGCCCCATAAAAGTCCTGAACCCCAAGCCTGTTTTGCCTCTGTCTATGGAGAGATGGCTTTACTTGTCAGCTCTGACAAACTCTCGTGTGTATCTCTGCCTGGTTTCCATCTTTCATTTCTTGCATGCCTGTCTCCTGGTTCCACACTTTCCTTTCAAGTTTTGTATATCTATATACCTACCAGGAGTGTACCATAGTAGGCATCAGAGAAAAGGACAGAGATGAAAAGGAAAATCTAAGAGCTTATCTAGTGAGGGAGAGAGGCAAGCAAACCAGAAGATATTATTTCATAAATTAAGAGGTCAGCTGAAGTACAAGTAATAGAATGTACTAGAAAACATGAAGGAATCATTTTGATGCCATGGAGGGAGTAATATCTGAACTGTACCTGTAAATTCTCTTAATTTTATAAGCAAAAAAAAAAGTTATGTTTGAAAAATGCCTTTAAGTACATTATTTCATTGAACTTCACAATGACCCTGTGAGACAGATAGGAATCAGCAACCCCATTTTATGGATGAGGACATTTATCTTCAAAATGTTTAAACAGCTGGATTCCAGTGTTGCACACTATAATTACAGCAATTTGGGAGGCTGAGGAAGGAAGATTGCAAGTTCAAGGCCAGGCAAAGCAACTGAAAAACCAGCCTCTACCTCAGAGCAAAGCCTGTCCAAGGAAGGGAGAAAGACCCTTGTCCTTGGAAAGACCCACAGAGCACTCCTAGGCACATACCCACCCTGCTGAGTTGCTTATCTACAAATAACAAGAGAGATCTTTGGAGCCAGGTGTCCCTGACTCAGTCAGGCTAGGTGAGGACCCATAGCAACCCCCTAGCAACCACCAATCAGCATGAGACAGGGAAAATACCTGGGATGCTAGATGACCTTCCCAGTAGTTTATGGTGGTTGATAACATGTTGGGAAACCGTGTAGTTCAGCACGTACACCCCTTGTGGCTTAAACCAATCAATTCAAAGGAATCCTCCTCTTGTACTAACCAATCACCCTTACCCAACTTGTTCCCACCAGTGAATGTGCTAATCATGTTTTATGATTTTCCCGCGGTGTGTGATGATTTGCTAAGAGATGCTATGATGTAGTGAAGTCCCTACCTTCCCGAAAGAGTGTATAAAACTGTTGCAAACCCTGGGATCGGGGCCTCTCAGCGTCACCAGTTGCTGTGTACACGTGGAAGACCAAGCTAGCTTGCAATAAACACCTCTTTGCTGCTTACATGGATCTTGGTCTCTGGTGGTCTTTTGGGGGTCCCAAATATGAGCATAACACAACTTATTGAGACCCTGTCTCAAAAGGGGCCGAGGAGTGCTGAAGATGTACCTCAGTGGTACAGCACCCCAGTATTGAAAAAAAATAAAGTTTAACCAGTGGCTCAGGAGGCTGAGACAGGAGGATCACAAGCTCAAAGCCAGCCTCAGCAATGGTGAGGCGCTAAGCAATGAAGTGAGACCCTGTCTCTAAATAAAACACAAAAATAGGGCTGGGGATGTGGCTCAGTGGCTGAGTGACCCTGAGTTCAATCCCTGGTACCAAAAACAAACAAATAAATAAATAAATAAAAATAAAGTTTAAACAGCTTGCTTTAAGTCATGCAGTTGGTAGCCGGCAGAGTCTGCACCTAAACCCGCACATTTTGCCCCTAAATTCATATGGAAAGGCACTCCATTAGGTGTAAATTCTCATTGTCTTTCAAGCCTAGTCCCAAATCAAATCTATTGGAAAGTCTTCCTTGAGCTCTCAACTAATATTGGATCCTTAGAGCATTTTATACTTCTCATGGGACACTAAATCATTTTTTACCATGTATTGTTATAATTTAGGTATAAATGAATTCTGTCTGTTCTACGAGGTTGCCAGAGTTTGTTGTTTAAGAGATGAGGTCTTAGAGCTGGGATTGTGGCTCAGTGGTAGAATGCTTGCCTAGCACGTGTGAGGCACTGGCTTCAATTCTCAGCATCATATACAAATAAATAAAATAAAATAAAAAAGTTCATCAACAATTAATACACATATTTTTTAAAGGTGGGGGGATGAGGTCTCACTATGTTGCCCAGGCTGGCTCTCGACTCCTGGGCTCAAGCAATCTTCCTGCCTCAGCCTCCTGAGAACCTAGGACTATTTAGTTCATGCCACTGTACTCAGTCTCATCATCTTCAACACAGAATCTGATTCCTGATTTAGCACTTATTACACTTGGCACAGTACCTTTCACAAATCAAAAACTTTGAATTATATGTCAATACTATCACCATTCTCTCAGATACCCAGGTCATTTCAGAACTTCTTTTCCCCTTCATATCTAACTTGATGCCTAGTCTTGTCACTTTTTCATAATTTTATTCTTTTTAATTCCTATTGCTCTTAATCTTGAGTGAAAGGGATGACTACTTTATATAACTTACCAAATGAGATCACTGAATCTCCAGGGCCTTCCCAGTCTAATTTATTCTCCAAACTACTCCCACATTCACGTTAACATAATTCCCTTATGTCTACTACTTTTAAATCTTTGCCTAAAAGTCATTTAACACTTAAAACCTTTAAGTCTTTGCCTTAATTTACTTTCCTAGTCATAGCTCTCACTCTGATCCCTATGAGCTCTTCATTTTAATGAAACCTGTCTATTATACGTGCCTTGAATATGCTTTGTTCATATCCAGGATGCTCACCTGGGTATCTGCCCACTCACCACTGTAACACCTATCTAATACCACCCCATCCATGATGTTATACCTCTGTTATGAAGACTTTCCTCACCAGAGCAACCTTCTTTCCCTAAACTTCAGCAAAACTTAAATCTTATCACTCATCTGACCTGACACATAGCACGTTGTACCACCTATTGTTCTCATGCCAAGGGAAACATAGGCTCCCCAAGGTCAAGAATAGTTTTTCCTGTAGCATTTATCTTGGTTCTACTCAATAAGTATCAATTTTTCCATCCTTATTACCATTATTATTTCCCCCATTATAGAAATTCAACAGACATGGACATCCCAATAATTGAAATATTTTCTGTTCTCCCAGAAACATAATATCCAAAGTTTTCTGCCACAAATACTCAAAACATTTTCTTCTGACCATTTTATCTGTATTTTAGAAGCATCTTTGGTGTACTATATTGTGTCCAACTTCTTTAAATTCTGCAGCAGTGATCCACATGTCCTGAAAAGCAGACAGGGATGCAAGAATAGACCCTCCCATCCACACTGATATTTTCCTTTCTGGGGGAACTGTAACCTGCACTGAGGTGTTAGGAGGTGCCACCTTTGCTATATCCTTAATTAGCCGCTTGTCTAAACCAGGGAAAGAGGTTGATCCCCCAGCAAGGATAATATTGGAGAAGAAGGAATTCCTCAGATCCACATCACATTTCATTATACTGCTGAAGCACATCTTGTCAATTCCAGGGGCATCTAGGTTCATGAGACACGGAGAGAAGAGGGCCTCTGGACAACGAAAGAGCTGGTCATGGAGCTTGAGGATCTTCCCATCAGGTAGTTGGTAAACTTTCTCTATGCACTCAGGTTTCTTGGCCCTTTCCTCTTCATAGTCTGTTGCCACATAACAAGAGGTTTCCTTAATGCTTTCAACAGTCTTTTTGTCTGTAGTACTAAGCAGCATGATGCCATGGTCCTTCAGTAGCATCATGAGGTAGTTGGTAAGGTCAAAGCCTGCCAAATCTAGCTGTTTTACACCATGAGGCAGACAGTAACCCTCAAAGATGGGTACACATTGAGTAACCCCAGCACCTGAATTCAGCACCAAGCCAGTAGTGAAGCCAGCGGCAAAGAGAGCCAGCACAGCCTGGATGGACATATAGAAGGCAGGAACACCCAGATGTTCAAAAAATACTTCAGTGGTTTTTTGCCTGTTGGCCAGTGGATTCAGTGCTGACTCTGTAATCAAGACTGGGCCATCACAGGGCTTTAGTTTCAGGTTAGAGTCATAGATATGCTTCCACATAATCTCCATGTCCCCCCAGGAAGTAATGACACCACGCTCCACAGGATAGCTGTAGGGAGAGCAATAAGATAAATGGAAGGTTTTAATTTTCCCAGTTTCTGCTTTCTTCAGACCTCCACATGTCCCTGTATTATCAGTATCCCTTTCTAGGCAGTAATTGCTACAGCCTCTCAGAGGAGGTAACTGTCAGCAGAAGCGGCTGTTGCAGTTATACGACTGTAATTTTAAAAAACTGGAAAATTCCCAAATTATGGTATAACTTAAGTAGTTATACTATTTAGTTATTTGAAGATAAAACTCCAAATGACAAACAGCACCATAAATTATGTAACACCATTAAAGGAACTTATATATTGTGAGCTAGAGCTTTATTTACACGTTTGTGTTCTCTTCTTTCTCTCACCGTAGCCCGCCCCCTCTTGCTAGGCTCGCGGCCCGCCCTGCCCGCGGGGAGGAGGGAGTACCTGATCGACAGCGAATGTCTCCTTTCCTGCACCTGGTCGCCCAGCCACAGCTGCAGCGCGCCGTCGGCCGCCAAGTTCTGACGTTTGTCGCGGCCGACAATGTTCGGGTAGACAAAGTCCGGCTCCCGGTTTCCGGCCAGGCCGGCCTTGATCACTCCCGAGCCGTTGTCGATCACCACTGGTAGCTGGTAGCAGTTCATGCCGCCGCCGCCTTCGCCGCCTGCTGTCCCCGGCCGCGCCTTCTTTGGACTCCGCCAGGCCAGAGGCCTGGAACGCCGCGTCACAGAGGCCCTGCACCGCGCAGTCCTGTCGGAGCCCCGTGGCTGCGGGCCGCGGGTCCGGAGCGCGCTAGGCCCACGGACGGGTTCCCGCGGTGAGCCCCGCGGTGCAGGCTGCGACTGCCACTCTTCCGCTTCGTGGAATCGCGGAATACCAATACTAGGAAAACCCCCCAAAGATAGCAAATCTACCCCTTCACAGGTGCATTTCTCAACACTCTGAAAAACCACGGAAACACATTGTTCCCCAAAGTCCTAGAATTCTACTTAACGCGTGTGCGTTTTAGAGTCCGCGGGAAGCTCTGGAAGGCGCCCTGGAAACTGGGAAAGTTGTCGCGGCATGGGAGGCACCGTTCTGTATCTGAAAGGCTCAACTTTTAGGAAAAGAAAATTGCCGAGTTTTAGACACTTTATTGTTTCTGTGCACTGGGCAATGCTCCCTTGAATTTCTTGCCTGGGATTTCTAAAAATGTACCCAGTGAAAACAAATTATCAAGCGGGTTGCGGACGCGGTCGCCTGAAGTTCCATTTCGGAGCCTGAGGGAGGAGGATCGCAGAAGTTCGAAACCAGCCTGGGCAAGGCCCTGTCTCAATAAAAAGGGCTGGGGGTGTAGTTCAGTGACAGAGCGTCCGTGGGTCCAATCTCTACAGTGTTCCCCTCCAAAAACCAAACAACAAAACACCTCCTCCTTTTTCTTTTGGTTTGGTTTAAATAGCAATGTCTTCGCATTATATCCCTTGGTTTTTGGAAGCTTAGTCTTTAGCTTGATTTTTAGGCATAAGCATGTGTCTGCCTCTTTGTAGTTTGTGAGGTTCACACGCAGGTCATATGGAGAAAAAAAGTACATTGCGTATTCAAAAACAAAGTACTTGGTACACCCTTTAGGGAATTTTAAAACAAGTACACAAATTAGAAATTCTGGTTGGTCTTCAGGAGCGCTAAAAGGAAATTAAAACGTTATTTACACGTTCTTCCATGAGGCCGAAAGGTTTGCTTTGTCGCTGGCTAAGAGCATTGCGGGTCGGAGGAGGGACCCGTCGCCGGCTTTGGAACGTGGGTATCCGCTCAGGGATCGCATTCCCAAAAACAAAGCCCCAGGACGTGCCCGGGATTCTGAACAGCTTGATGCTCTGGAAGGGTGGGGATGGGTTTTTAAGTGTGCCCAAAGAACTGGCAATTAGCAGGTGCCTGGGTTTTACAGCGGTACCGGGAGCTCTGCAAGAAAATCAACTCAAATTCGAACTTTCGAAATACTTTGAGTACTGTTCAATTGAACATGTGGTTTTATTTTTTGGGTGATTGTTATTTTATATATACATATTGTTGTCCATTAAATATTAAAACAATTCCGTTTCCTTTAGGTCAAACTGCATGTTTCCACATAGACATCAGGGACTTTGAGGAGGCCAGTCAACAGCTCGGTTTCCGTAGTGTAGTGGTTATCACGTTCGCCTAACACGCGAAAGGTCCCCGGTTCGAAACCGGGCGGAAACAGTACCAAGCTTCACTTTTAAAAAAATCAGTAGCAAACCGAAGATGAAAATTAAGTATCCATTTTTTCTTTCCATGGATGTGATTTTTATAACAACTCTGCAGAACTTTTGAGAATCTGAACTATTCAATTTGGCGTTATTTGATTCATTCACCAAATGTTTTAGTAGGAGATTTGCTACGTGAAAGAACTGACCCAGATTCTAAAAAATTGAATTTGTATTATATATAGTGTCATATTAAGTTTATAAGTATTTCTCAATAAATTATGGAAAATGGTTCTGACCCCTTCCTAATGGAATCAAGAAAAATATATAATTAAGACATTAGATTTTTTTAGGCTGTGGTTTTATTCACAAACTTGATTCATACAAGAGGAAATCCATAGAGCAGGAAGAAGCTAGTAGAAAAAATCTCACGGAAAGAAAAGGTAATAATTCAAGTTGAGATTAACCTTCAAAATAAAGTCATAGGTTAAATTCCTTAAAGTCTTTTTATTGGTGGGGGTATTGGGGACTGAATCCAGGGATGCTTAGCCACCGAGCCACATCCCCAACCCTTTTTAAAAATTTTGAGACAGGGTCTCACCTAGTTGCTAAGGGCCTCGCTAAGTTGCTGAGGCTGGCTTTGACCTCAGATCCTCCTGCCTTAGCCTCCCAAGCCGCTGCGATTACAGGCATGCATAACAGCGAGGGCTGACACAGATTTTTTTAAAAAAATACTTTATTAGTTATTGATGGACCTTTATTTATTTGATTACACATGGTGCTGAGATTGAACCCAGTGCCTCACACATGCGAGGCAAGCACTGTACCACAAAATAAAATAAATATTTAAGTTGTAGTTTTGAGATTCATGATGTCCACAGTTAATAGGAAAGAATCCACCCCAACACATCAGTAAGGCTCATTTTATTGTTTGATACTTTTGTATATTGTAGACATAATTGATAGCCTTTTCCCTAACTGTACTAACCCCAAACTCGAAGTAAATAATTGTATTAAAATTACTCGGGTCTAGACATTGGAAAACCTTTTCCGGTATAAAGCCCACCTTCCTCTGATGCTGCGCATGCCCAGTGTGTTCTACTGCTTTGGTTTGCTTTCGTGCGTATCAGACTTCTTTCACCAGGTAAGGCGTCTTGGAAACAGAGCTATAGTTGGCTGGCACAAACAAAACCTAGGGGGTCCCAAGAGACTTCGGGTATGTAAAAGGGAAGGGGGTGCTCGCCCTCTGCGTTAACAGCCCCCACGGCGGAGAGCCAGAGTACATAAAGCAGCAGTTACCACTGGCTGGGCCGGGAGGGAGGATGACGGGAGAAGACAAGCAACTACAAGCCCCAGCATGCAGTGCGCAGCGTGGTCTCCCGAGAGACTGGCGGTGCAGGCTGCCCGGCCTAGGTCCAGAGTCTGGCTGACCGATACAGGCTGACTGTCGGCCAGAGAGCTCAGCATGAGGAAGAAGGGTGCGGCACTGTACACCAGCCTTTAAGTCTCGCATCCCCGGTGCTTGCTGTTTCGGGGACGCCTGGCATGCTGGGGAGTCAGGGTTCTACGGGCCAGCTTGTCGGCCTTGGCCTGTGTGGGACCTCCACGGCACTAGAGCCTCCGGAGTTACCACGGGACTACGGAGCCGGATGTGACGCTACCGTGGAGGAAGAAGGGAGAGGCGGAGCGTGGCGCGGTGACGTCCTCCCAAGATGGCGGAGAGACAGTGAAGAAACTGTTCCCCCTGGGTGGCCGTCGGTGAGTGCCCACTTCGCCCTAGACCCCCGTCTCTGCTCTCTCCAGACCCTGGGCCATGGGAGGGCAGGCTTCTTGGAGTTCTAGCGCTGGTCGGGGCGAAGGTGGAATGCTGTGCGAAGCAGCCCCCGTGGTAGCCTTGGCCTGTCTCAGCTGTGGGATTTCGCGGGAGTGGGAACCGGGCGGAGGGCAGGGCAGTGGAGGCCGAGGAAGAACCGGCTTTGGTTGTCACTCTCAGAAGCCGCCAGGCGGGAGAGAGTAGGAGGGGAGGGGTGTGGCCTCCTGGGGCGAGTGACAGAACCTTTGACAACCCTTGGCCCTATGCATTCCCCGCCCCTTGGGCACGCGCCTCGCGCTTTGGAGAAACTGCACCTTGTAAGCTAACAGGTTTTGGTGATTTGAGGGGAATTTTTTTAAAAAATAATTTTCTTCCCATCTGTCCCAAGGAGTTGTTTCTTGATGCTTTGTTATTTTTTTCCCGTTAACCATTTACTGAGTGAAAGTTTGAGGGTTCAACTGATGTAAAACCTTGAAATTGTGCGGGGTTTTATTTTTATTTTTTGCAGTTTGTGCAGTATTTTCATTCACGTTCATCACAGTCATTTGTTGTTATGTGCAAGGATTGTGTTAGTGTCCAAGGCAAAACAAAATCATTTATCAGTTTTTTTTTTTTTTTCTTTTTGTTGCTGGGATTGAATCCGGGTCGTTTTACCACTGGCTAACATCCCCAGTCCTTTTTAATTTTTTAGTTTGGGTCTCATTAAGTTGCCCTAGCTGTCCTCTAACTGCCTCTCAGCATTTTTACCTGGACAGGTTTGATAAAGTCTTTTCAGAGGAGATAAAATAAGACCTTTTTTTCTTTAAATTTTGTCCTCTGTCCCTTCTCCCCTCAAATGAGTGAACCTTTGATGAAAATTTGTGGTTATTGATTACTTTTTTCCTTTGTCTTTTAGATCAAGGGTAAAATCCCATTCTGATATCAAAATGCAGTATTCACACCACTGTGAGCACCTTTTAGAGAGACTGAACAAACAACGGGAAGCAGGTTTTCTTTGTGACTGCACCATAGTGATTGGGGAATTCCAGTTTAAAGCCCATAGGAATGTGCTTGCTTCCTTTAGTGAGTATTTTGGTGCAATCTACAGAAGCACTTCTGAAAACAATGTTTTTCTTGATCAGAGTCAGGTGAAAGCTGATGGATTTCAGAAATTGTTGGAGTTTATATACACAGGAACTTTAAATCTTGACAGGTAAAGTACACATTTTATTTTCAGTTATAAAAGCTGCTCAGTAGTCTTTAGAGCTCAAGTCATTTGTATTTTTTCTATTCGGTCTCTTCATTCGTTCTTCAAATATTTATGCACACAATGTTTTTCTTTTAATAAAGAAGTCAGTGTCACTGACTTGGGATTAACAAGTATTTGATAGGCACAAAAACCAAAAATTTAGCACATTTGTCAACCACAACAAAGCCTGTGATTTCAGCTTTGCAAATGCAAAATTTAAACAATAAATTCCAGTTTCCCTTTGCTTTTTGATCTTTATATCCCTCTGTTGTTCTTTCTCCCTTCTTCCATCTCCTACTTCTTAAGGTATCTGGAGTATAGATGGGGGAAGAAGGAAGAACTTCTGGGCTCATACAGTAGTGCTTCCATTGCCAACCATAAATAGCAGTGTGCAGGATATCTTCCTGATCCTGATTCAGGAAAATTGCTTTGCTGGAGCCTAGATGGCAGTAACTCTGTTCTCTCTTAACATTAACCCACCGTATTAATGCTTAAATCAGGT